AAGTTGGGGGTAATTTCGCCAGGTAGTGATCCGTGAGCACAGGGGCCTAAACAAGGCTTTTTGTAACCAATAACCAGTACGAGATAGAGATGATCTGTGCTCCAACAAAGCATTGTTCGTAGCAGAATTAGTTGCACAGGTTCGATGTAGAAGGCTGAGGACTGCGCCAGTGTGAAATGCATAGCTGTGACTTTATTTTGTGGCGAGTCACGTTCGCCACGTTGCAGTGTTGTTAAGCAGACATCTGTGGCTTTTTATAGAGAGAACGCTTGCCAGGCGAAAACCCACCACGTCCTGGAACACTGCCGTGGTCTGTGTTTCAGCAAAGCCATGTAAACGCCTGCCAGGAGAACGGCCTTGGCACATCGTCGGAACAATGGGGAATTGTGGCTTGCCACTCTGTGTAGCTGCATTATTATTTACGACTGTCATTGGGACACGGGGAGTCACTTTTTTAGCACGAAGGCCCCTATTTGATCTAAGACTCTTAGGGTGCGAACCATGGCCACTGCTGCTATGTGTAGTCATAATGTCAATGGGCAGTACTGGAGCTATCGATAGTCCCATTTGATGTTTTTGGTCTTGTATCTGTTTCAGTAGTAAATAAATAAATAGTTTATTCTCGAATTTGTCGAGACACACCAAGCAAGGCATGAGCAATATTTACATGCAATACCGTTTCGCAGCAAACACGTTGCTATGAGTGTAGTCGGCACTAAGCCGAAGGTTGAACGGTCTGCGGAAATCGTGTCAGTAGTCACGGGATAGAGTCTTCAATGAATGACAAAACGTTGAATTCTAGCGTGCGTAGTGGAAACAGTCAGGGCACTACATATGTAATGAAAACGGTACATATAGCCATGGTGTAACCTATTACTGAAAGTGACAGGGCAATATGGAATAATGATTCTGCTCGACTTGCCAGTAAGTAGTTCAGGGCAGTGACTTTATTCGGTGGCGAGTCACATCCGCCACGTCACAGTGTTGCTAAGCGGACATTTGTGGCTTTTTATAGAGAGAACGCTTGCCAGGCGAAAACCCACCACGTCCTGGAACACTGTCAGAAATTTGTCGGTGCACTAATATAGAACTGGCAGACCAGGTAGTCGACTGATTAGACACTCAGATATCCGCAGTCAAATGACCTTCAATTTCCTTTGTTATTTGAGCAAGTAGCTTGGGCAAGGCCGCCATAATGGCTGAGACAAATCGAGGATGTGGGCTTCTCGAAGAATCGTCTTTGTGGCTATCCAGGTGGACGAAACGTCAGTTTCTTGCGTCTGGATATTTTAAGGAGTATGTATTCTTTTCAGGTGTGTGAAGTTCTCGAGACCAGCTATCATCAATGGGCAACGGTCCTGGTAGTGAGTGCAGCTGTATCCGTTTCTTGTACAACCGTGTGCTTCATAGGTCCTTATTGGTTGTTCTGTCCCTGACAAAAGCGGTTTTTCGGTACTATCCCAGATCCCCAAGAAGTTCCGGACCTCGGAGAAAAGGGAAGGTGAGAGACAACCAAGGCCGCAACGAACAGGCGTGGATACAAACATTATTATACTCCTATGTTGGTGTGGGAATTGATCCCAATCCCTACTGGTTTGTCAGAACGTGGTGCAACGGTTGAAGCTACACTATTTCCTACGTCCACAAGACTAATGTGGTGTGGAGGCGTGAGTATCTCAATTTCCACTACGTTGTCGCCAGCCTTAGTATCACTCAGGTGGAGCGTGGTCTTGCTAACATTAGCTGCTTTTTGGAAGGGGAGAACCAAACACTGTTAAATGATCTCCTTCTTTGCAATCGAGGAAGCGCGCAGGGAGGATGAATTCGCCTCGTCTCAGGTGAGACATTAGTTTCACTCATGCTTTGAAGCTCACTTTGCAAAGGTGATATGTCTAAAATAGTATAACTTTGCAAACTTTCGGGACAGATCTTGAAGTATTTTGACTTTTGATAAAAGAACTAGCGAGAGTTTCGCTAGGAAAGCTGAACAGAGTCGGACAAGGAAAACGTAAAGATTTTTTCTTCAGTCTTCTACAACTAATATCGGTTTCAGTGGTATTGCACGCCCTCGAAACAGTATGCCTGAAGTTGTCAATTGCGTTATTGTCGGCTATGCTGAAAGCGATGACGTTTCTCACCTCTGCATCTTTAAGTAACCTCAGAGGCGATTGCATTTCAGAAGTTTAAGGCTCCAAGTGTGTGCTTTTGCGCTGGATTAGCCGAAGACTGAATTAGTTATGAAACTGACAATAAAAGAACTCCGAATGAGTCAAACAACTTTAGGTTCTCATTTTGTTCTTCTAACTGTTACTCCAACGTATTTATTTGGGCTGAGAGTGGAGATATAAAGTCGACAACACTAACTGAAATCTCTGTCGTTTGTCCTTCGGACTTATTTACCTGCTCTTGTATGCCAGGCGGCTCGGAATGTGTGCAACGGGGCAAAGGTTCCTTGACGCTCGTGATGGCAACATTATTTACCGTAACTATTTGGTTTTACACACGCTTTTTCTTCATTGCACAAGTGCTAATGGCAGTCAACAATCTTTCAGCGAGCAAGATAGAAGCTGGATGGTATATGCTATAGCGGAGCGTGAATTCTGCGGTTACGAAGGTCGTTTAGGTCCAGTGATTTACCTATTCAAGTCAACAAACAGGCCACTGTTGCAGATGCAACCAATAATAAAATCCAACCGGATGTAAGAGTGCTCAGTTGTCCGAATTCCGCCAAGGGTAGGCTGTCCTCCAGTGATCGACCGCTCCGTGAACCGGTATCCCTGAGGTCAACTCCGTGGTGTCACGTTATGCCGCATGAGGAGGAGGAGGATGCCCGCTGTCACCTTTCCTCTTCAACTTCGCTATTGATGAAGTCATGGAAACAGCGTTCGCTGGACACGACCTAGAAGGTGTGGAGCTACTCCCTGGTGAGCGACTTCTTGACTTGGAGTATGCAGACGATATTGCCCTAATCTGTGACAGCTCCAAAACATGCCAAACAGCACTGAACCGATTAGCACTGGCTGTCAATCGTTTTGGGCTATGCTTTGCTCCATCGAAATGCAAAGTACTTCTCCAAGATTGACAGGGACCCAACCCTGCGCTAACGCTTGGTGGTGATCTGCTAGAAGTCGTTCAGGAATTTAAGTACCTGGGCAGCTATATTAGCACCCGTGGGATTGAAGATGAGGTTACGAACCGTATAGCAAAAGCTCGAGGTGCTTTTGCCAATCTCCGCCACCTGTGGCGCAGACGCGACATTACCCTCGCCCTCAAGGGCAGAGTTTACAACGCAGCCGTCCGTTCAACTCTCCTATATGGCTGTGAAACCTGGCCCATCAGGTCGACAGACATGAAGAGACTCGTCACATTCGATCATCGCTGCCTTCGCAGCTTAGCTCATGTCTGGTGGGAACACAGCGTGAGCAACTAGCGTGTTCGACGCCTTGTCTACGGCACAGGAAAAGGAACTGAACAGCTCAGCACCGTCATTTCACGCACCAGGCTCCGATGGCTCAGTCACTTATTACGCATGCTAGCCCACCGGCTCCGGCGACGTGCGTCGTTCAGGTGTGGATGGAAGAAGAGGAGGGGTGACCAAGCGATGACTTGGTCGAGAGGAATGAAGGTCTTCACTTTGGAGTTGGCCTCGGTTGGTGCGTTATGGCTCCTTGGTTGGTGTCCAAAAGACGAACGCGTTTAGCTAGGTATACTTTCTGACAGCTAGTAGCCGATCTTATTGGATTTCCTGCTGAGTTTCTTTGTCCCTCCTCATCTTTTTTAGCCTCCCCTCCGACCACGATCTCAGTTCGTAGCATAATATAATTTTACATAATAATTTTTTTGTTGCCTAGTAGCCGGCTGGGAGCTTTCAGGAACCATGCCCATCCGTTGCTGGTAGCTCAGATGGCATGCAACTGTTACTTTTTTCTTTTATGTATTGCTACAGTCGCTTAGGTGTTTTACACCTCTAGCGATGTTTCTCATGATGATGATGACGGAGCCTTGCGAACGAACGAGCGACAACTAGTATTCAGCCTTTCTTTGGAGTACTGCGTCCAACATTGTCTCCTTCATTTCGTCAGGGACAGAGTATCAGTGGAGAAAGTGCTGAGGCGGGTTGCATCCAACATGTTGCTGGGTTAAGACGTATTTCATATGCTGAAACTGCCAAGTTGGGCACTTTTTCGCCACTACTGTCGTCAGCATGTTGATCTGTTCCTTACCTGTCGCATGCTTACTAGCCCATTTGGTGTGGATTTATCTAGACTCTGGTCCAGCTGTCGCTAACCCTCCATAATTATGTAAGGAAGCTGCGCAAGCCTTTGTTCCTTTGAGTTTGGGGGAACATCCAGTTTCTGTCTAGGGTAATCACCTTTTGGAATAGGTTGTCCGAAGATCTTGTATTGACGCTAACGATCAGAGAGTTTGAACATCGACTTGACACACTTGGTCTGTTGCTACAAACGTTTTTCTTCCTAGCTCAGCCATCGCTGCAATTCGCCATCTTTCTTTTCTCCCTCTAGATTTCAGTTCTTGATTTATGCAGTGTGTTCTTTAATTTCAGTTTCTTTTTTGCTCTCTTCCATGTCGTTTTACCTTTGCTTCACATAACCGACACATTGGGGACTACTAATACGTGGCACCTGGACGTTAATCGGCTAGTCGTGGGATGATGCGCGCGTACCGATTTGGCATTTTCAATAAACAAATCAATTCACCTTAATCTATCATGGATTAGTGGCATTCTCACAACGCGACATTCAGTAGATCCTTCCAATGTTCATATCCTATTTGAACATGAACTTGTACTTATGACAACGACATCCAACGGCTTACGAGATGTTAGCCAAGCACATCTTCCATCCAACTCAGTCTCTTACTAGGTGTGTGTGATAACATCATTCAACCGTCTGTGAGGTATTTGTTTTACGTTTCAGGTCTGTGACAAAAAGAAGTGGCATTAAGGATCCCGAATCGGACGCATACTAAATTAGGTGCACATGACGGCTCGAAAAGGCACGGCAAAGTTGGATGAATTGCTACGCATTGAAAAGGAAATCCAATCTTATTGGGATGAAGAAAAGCTATTTCAAGCAGATGCTGTTGATATTGCAAAGTTAGTTACTTTCTGTGCTGAACATTTTCCCAAACCAGAAAAGAGAAATTCTTCGTTACTTTTCCATATCCTTACATGAACGGAAGACTGCATCTGGGACACGCCTTCTCGCTTATGAAATGTGAAGTGAGTTTCTTTCACGCTCTCATTTTTGCAGTTTTCCATTGGATTTGCCAGATTAAACGGAATGGTTACACTGTGGCCTTTTGGTTTCCATTGCACTGGAACTCCCATCAAAGCATCGGCTGATAAGCTTGTTCATGAATGTGAACAGTACGGATGTCCCCCTGTTTTCCCAAATCAGGATTTCGGAAGTGTTCAAGAGTTTTCTGGAGATGTTGAGGTAGGTTGGTAATGCTACTTGCAAGTTGGTACAGGTGGTGAACGATCCCTCAAAGAGCAAAAAAAGCAAAGCAGCTGCAAAGACAGGCGACCTCAAATTTCAATGGCAAATAATGGAAAGTCTCGGTCTTTCTTCCTCCGAAATAGCCAATTTCAAAGATCCTTCTTACTGGCTGGCGTATTTTCCGCAGAAGGCTGTATCCGACCTCAAATGTCTCGGTATCAAGGTACATTACTCCTTTTGTCTCGAGCCTATTCGAAACAAGTATCAGTCACTGCCATCAGATGAAACTTTATCGGTTCAGTGGGTCGGTTAACTTGCGCCCATATTATGGACCGCGCAGCGGAATTTCCTAGGCGTTTATATTGCACGTACTCATCATTCATTTTCCCGAAACATAGATATATTAGTAGCTAATGTCTTGCTACAATCTTCGTCTTCATTTGGGTACGATCACAAACGGCTGCTGAACGTATACCATTTTCCTACGCACCTTACAACGCTGCATCTTGGATAAATCGTTTTAAAACTCCGGTATGGTAAAAATTTAATAAGCATCTTAACTGTAAGGAGAGGATCGCACTACTGTTTATTCTTGCTGCGTTCTTAAGTAGGGTTTGAGGTAAATCGGAATACTTGTAGCTCGGGTTGACTGTTCTGATTTTCCTTTGTTCTCCGAGCTAAGGATTTGTACTGCAGACGTTTGGTCACCAGTCGAGGTGACATCCTCAGTGCCTCACTGCTTAGTAGTGTACAGCTCGTTGAGTGCGTCGTCGGCTCTTGATCGATGGGCAAGTGACGTTTGAAACTGGCAGCTTCGCTTTATATCATGTGACCTTCGGTGGTTTGTTGTTCGGCCGCCGCTGCTTCCTGCCCTATGTTAGGACTTTTGACCCGTCCAATTTCTTTCTTTCTCTATGGTTGGTACACCGGGTCTAGGTCTATGCACAGGTTTATGGAGTGTTCTGTAGTAAACCACGCTTCAAGGAATTCCCTGCTTTTTCTCGTTTCTCCCCGCGCGAGAATTTCAGTTTTGTCCCAGTCAAACACAGCTACAGACCGCGCAGCACTTGCTGAACAGTGCAATGGACGGCATTCGCTTCACTATGTAGTCCGAAATAGAAAACCAAATGCCTTTCTTGAACGTGCTTCTTACCATAACAATAGACGGAGAACTACAGATATCAGTTTACAAGAAGGGCACTCACACTGACAAAATCTTAAAGTGTAATAGCAATCATCCAAATTATCACAAAATAAGCTGCATTAAGTCACACTCCACAGCTCCATCCTAGAACACTTAGTATAAACGAAAGAGGCCTTCAAAATAGTGTATGTAGCGGCAAAACGTTGCTCAAAAGGACTCAGGAAGCGCCTACTGGCCACAGCAGAAGCAATTGCGATCAAGCAGCTGAAGCCGGAACTGTGTAAACAGCGTGCACTTATGCAGAGTTTAACCCTACCATGGCCCTAGCCTGATCACCAAATTTCTGGGATAATGGTCAAATAGACATAGATTGCCACCGTTCATCTGATCGCAGCATTCACGACTTTGTGTCGCATCGCGAACAACAGCCACTGCACAAATGATTATGAAGCTCATAATTGTAATTGCCCGAAGAGAATTATCGGCAAGAAATTTCTTCGCAATTTCCTTTTAGCATCAGAATGGGCATAATTTATGAATACTCAGGTAGCAAAGCGAGAGGAAGAGAAACATCTGTTTGCCTCCTTCATGGGTAATGGATACTGGCACAGTTTCATCCGAAGACACTTGAACTGCAAGGCTGAAATACCACGCCTGAATCAACAACGAAGAAACGGATCGCTTTGCCTTATGTCAAGAACCTATCAGAAATGATGGCCAGATTTCTCAAACCGTATCATCTGATGGTTGCCTACATACCAGCCGCCACACTTCAGGGGACCTTTTCTAAACCGAAAGATAAATTGAAGGTACACAAACGCAGTAATGGTGTTTACAGCATACAATGCAAAACTGCGAAAACTATGTGGGTCAAATAGAAAGGAAAATGGTTACAAGAGCACAAGCGAGCTTTCTGTAACCACTACGCATCATCTCTGGTCTCGGCACATGTTGATGAGGAGGGGCACAGGTTTGATTGGGACAAAACTGAAATTCTCGCGCGGGGAGAAACGAGAAAAAGCAGGGAATTCCTTGAAGCGTGGTTTACTACAGAACACTCCATAAACCTGTGCATAGACCTAGACCCGGTGTACCAACCATTGAGAAAGAAAGAAATTGGACGGGTCAGAAATCCTAACATAAGGCAGGAAGCAGCGGCGGCCGAACAACAAACCACCGAAGGTCACATGATATAATGCGAAGCTGCCAGTTTCAAACGTCACTTGCCCATCGATCAAGAGCCGACGACGCACTCAACGAGCTGTACACTACTAAGCAGTGAGGCACTGAGGATGTCAACTCGACTGGTGACCAAACGTCTGCAGCACAATGCCTCAACTCTTAAGTAGGGTGTTTGTGGCATAGTGAAATCGTCCAGACCCTACTTCGGCTCGCGCAACCCGGTAGTGTCCTGTTATTTCAACAAACCATGGTTTTCTTTCTGTTCTGTTCCATTTTCTCTTTCGACAATTTTACTTTTGCTTTTGAGGGTTTTCGATGGCTCCATGCTCATTTGTCAACTGCTGTAAAGACATACTCAATTGGTGTGCAACATTCATCCCACTTTGCTACTTGTTTTCCTCTGCATATTAAACGACCCTCTGGTTGGAGGCCGACCATGGGAGAATTTCTATCATTTTCAGTATCTCGAAGATTGGATGACCATGCTTTCCAAACTTATTATGGAAGGTTCATTAATAAACAGAGATGGCCAATTCTGTAGAATATGCCTCTCTACCGAGCCTTCATTGAGCGCGTGGTTAAACAGATAGGCGGTCGAAATCTCACAGGCGAAGCACTGTAGCAGTATAACTGATGCTTTGCTCCGAATTAGGCAAAACGACAACGGGGGCTCATGAAATGTTAGTGCAAGTGTACGATATTGGAGCAATGAGTAAAACTTGTGTGCAAGCGGGGGGTTTGGACGCTTGAGAGACGGAAAGGAAGGTGCCTCGAATGAGCGGCGTTCGTATCGGCCGTCAACAAGCATAATACCCGCAACCTCGAGCGAGTGCGACGGATGCTTGCGAATGATCGGCGACTGTCTTTGGGTATGGTAGCATAACATTTAAAGATAAGCAAAAACTATGTAAGCAGTATTGTTCATAAACATTAGCAAAGCGGGAGATTTATACCTTGTTTGTACCACACACGATGACATACGAGCAGAAGCAAATTCGGATTAAAACGTCTGTAGATTTTATCGACATTATCTAACCGTAATCTGCAACGATTAACTTTCTCGCCTTACGCAGAGTGACTGATTTCAACAGCATCATTATTCTCCAGCTTTGGCGCTCGCAGACATTTCTTGTTTTCCCACTTTAAATTGTCCCTAAGGAGTTACGCCTCACAAACGTTGCGGATATCCAACGACACGTGACCATGGTACTTCGAGCGATTCCATAAAAGCATTTGCTGACAGTTCCTAACAGTTCTAGAGCTTTGAAATGTGTTATAGCTAATGGCCAGTAAAGGCATTTTATTTGCAACCCCTGTTCCCTGTATTTTTTGGATAGCATTCATCGAGCATTAGTAGACGCACGTTGCACTTCCCCAATTTTTGTTAATCAACTACCTTTCTTTCTTTCATCACTTCGGGCTGACATATTTGCTTGCTTCGTTGATATATGCCAAATTTTGTAGTCTGGTTAGTTTTCTTACTTTTTACCTAGGTTGATTGGCGTCGATCCTTCATTACGACTGATGCGAATCCGTTCTACGATTCGTTCGTCCGATGGCAGTTTTTGCGTCTAAGGCAGCTTGGCAAAGTTCAGTACGGCAAGCGCTACACTATCTTTTCTCCAAAGGACAACCAACCTTGCATGGATCACGAACGTAGCGTCGGTGAAGTATCTGTTCTCTCTCTCAATCAAATTGTTTTCAGGGAGTCGGACCTCAAGAGTACACTGTAATCAAGCTGAAGATCCTTTCAACTCTTCCGGATCGTTTGAGGTACATTTTTAAAAATAGTAGTGGTTTGTGCTTTCGCTGTGTTCTCCGATCGTTACTCACCGAAGCATGTTTTCCTGCCTCTATCCGTTTGACTTGTCGATGACTTGCCGTCATTTCTGGTCATGGGTTTTTACCCACAGCTTAGCTTTCGTTCCTAAGGCGTTGTTTTCGTCCTTTGTACTCCGCTTTTCAGTAACGTTAAGTGTATTTTGTAGCTATTTGACTGCTTTATACTGTGACGGGCCCACCAACTTCTCTTACTACTTCCTTAGATTCGGTGCTTACCAGAGAACCCGCGGGAAGCTCACCGAGTCAAAAATCACCTCTGTGAATCAGCCTTGTCTTCTGCATAGCGGTAGCGCGTGGCAGCGAGGAGTGAGTTACTTCCTATGCCTTCGATTCACTGCATCGCTAATAGGAGGTACACAGCTTCACATCCTGCCACATTTGACAGTACTCCGCCACTGATTAGTCAGATTCGAACCAGATGATTGTCCAGTACTTCTCCGAATATCTAACTCCTATATGATGACTGAGTCCGTCGCGACAGGACTGGACCTTAGCGTGCTGCGACGGTTTGCCTGCGAAGCATTGCTGTCGTCGGATAGCATCAGCGCGTCAGCAACGATGAATTGTGTAGGCGACTGATAGTTATTGCTAATCTGACTAGTTCCTTCGCGCAGCACATAGTACTGAGTAACTTGCGTTGGCTTGGGCATCATCATCATCATTATACGCATCAGCTAGAGGTGGCAAAACACCTCCGCTATTGGGCCGCAATACATGAAGGAAATACATGGTTGGCGGCATCCGGTTTCGGATTTGCCTGCGCCTGCGCCTGCGCCTACAGAGGGACCATGGATGGCTTGCGCTGCACCACCCACAGCTCCAACCACACACCCCATATCCAATGTAAACCCGAAGGAATAAGACCGGGAGGCATGCGGATGGGAGCCACGTTTCATCAACGGAGCCGACCCACACTCCTTCACAGGCAAACACAAGCACGCTGTATTTGGGGAACCAAGCGCACACAAGGCGGTGGCTGGACCGTAGTCCGCTCCACACTGAGTGCATGGAACCACTCTTCGAGCCTAACACGGCCACAAGGACTGTGCACCCCGTCCCCGCCAGCAACGACCAACTGTCTCCTGAAGCCAGTATGGACGAGGTAGCGGGTAATAGACAGGTAGGCACCTTGTCAACATGCACATCAAGCGCAGCCACACCGGGGATATCAAACAACAGCCAATCATTTGAGAGAGAGAGAGACAAGAAAATAACTCGATTAATGCATAAGGAAACGGCGACATAAACCTTAAGTTAATGAGCATATGTAATAAGTTGTTTACAAACGGATCCTAGATAAGTTCGTGAGGTCAGAAAGTATCCTTAACGGAATACCTCGAACACAAAATGCTATGGAAATCGACTACAATTGGCTTAAGCGAGGTGTGCAAGTTAATGGAATAGAGTACAGGTAGACATTTATATGAGAAAGAAAAGCATTAGGACAAAATTGAAAACCCACCACCTGAAATAAAGAGACTTAGCATGCAAGCACGCGGTTGTAAATTGAATGCAGCGTGCCTACAAACTCTGCGCCGGTGCTGTCTACCTTCTCTGCAGAACCCGTCGTCGCTTCTGTAGTGGTCCCGAGTGGCCTCGCTCATGGCTCACTAGGGAAGGGTGACATATATCTTAAAGTAATGAGCATCTGAAGTAAGTTGTTTACAGAAGAATGCGAGATAGGTTCACGAGGTCAGAAGGCAAACTTTACGGAAATGTCACGAACACAAAAATGTTTCTAGAAAGGACTAGAATTGGCTTGAGTGACGTGTGCAAGTTTATAGAAGAAAGTACCGGTAGACATTTATACGGGAAAGCAAAGCATTGGGACAAAATTGAAAACCCACCACCTGTAATAAACAGACTTAGCACGCAAGCAAACGGTGACAAATCTTAAATTAGTGAGCATATGAAATAAGTTGTTTACAAAAGAATACGTTTACAAAAGAATACGAGTTAAGTTAACGAGGTCAGGAGGTTTATTTTACGGAAATGCTACAAACACGAAAATGTTATCGAAATAACTACAAGTGGCTTAAGCGACGTGTGCAAGTGTATAAAAGAGAGTACAACTAGGCATTTATATGGGAAAGAAAAGCATTAGAGCAAAATTGAAAACCCACCACCTGAAATAAAGAGACAGCATGCAAACAGGCGGTTAGTAAATCGAATGCAGCGTACCTACAAACGCTGCGCCGGTTCTGCCTACGTTCTCTGCAGAACCTGTGGGCGCTTCGGTAGTAGTCCCGAGTGGCCTCGCTCGTGGCTTACTAGGCCTGCCTGACTCAGGCACTCGCAACCGCATGTGCTACAGCACCATGCACTCGATGTCGATGAACTACAATCCATCGGTGCTTGCCGCTTCCGAACTTGCCGCTTCTTCTCTGCATGCATGAGGGCTTTCTCCCGCACTTCAGCAACTGCCTTCGTGATCAGATCGCGCCATACGCGCCGATCAACCGCTTTCGGTTCCCATGACCTGCAATCAAGATTAGAACGTGTGAGGCTCACTTTGATCATGTCCTGGTAACGTAACTTTGGCTTCCCCACATGCCGCTTCCCAATATTCAGCTGACCTTATAAGAGTTGTTTCGGTATCGGAGTCGAATCCATGCGCCACACATGACCGAGCCATCTCAGGTGTCTCAGTAAAAGTATGCAGTCCACTGCATACATCCCACTTCGGCGCAACACTTCCGTGTCTGCAACTCTGGCGCCCCAACCGATGCGCAAAATTCGTCGCAGACACTGCTGATGGAACCGCTCGAGATATCGCACATCCCGACGGTTCATAGTCCGCGTTTCACATACATACATATAATACAATACACAAAGGAAAAATAGATACAACAGTTGCATGCCAGCTGAGCTACCAGCAACGGATAGGCATCGTTCCGGTAAGCTACCAGCCAGCTACTAGGCAAAAATGTTTTTTTTGCCCTACGAAATGAGATCGTAGATGAAGGGGGAGGCTAAAAGGGATGGGGAGAGACAAAGAAACTCACAGCATGAACGCCACTGAGGTCGGCTCCTTGCCATGTCAGCAAGTGTATCCAGCCAAATGTGTTCACCGTCGTTCGGACCCCGACCAGGGAGCCGTGAAGCTCCAACCGAGGCTAGCTCCGAAGTGATGGACTTCATACCTCTGGACCAAGTCATCGCTTGGCCACCTCCCCTCTTCTTCCACCCACATCCCCGGTGAGCAAACAACGCACGTCGAGGGAGTCGGTGGGCTGGCATGTGTAACACGTGGCCGAGCCATCTGAGCCTGGTGCTTGAAATGACGGTGCTGTGCGTTGCAGATCCTTTTCCTGGGCCGTAAACAATGCGTCGAACACGCTCGTTACTCACGCGGTATTCCCACCAGATGTAAGCCAAACTGCGAAGGCACCGATCATCATCATCATCAACAGCAGTACATCAGCCATTTGAACTGATGCTTCGCTGCCATACAACCATGAGGACCTATGAAATAAAGAATAATAAGAGGGAGAGAAGGGGGACTTACCTGAAAACCTTAATGCCCTAAGCAAACATTCAGGGTCAAGGCGCCTACACATTGTGTAGACAGCATACCGTCACAAACAGCTGGCTATCGTGCAAAGATAAGGCGGCATTGGCGAGACAGCTTCCTTGCGGCTTTCACTGCCACGCGTCATAATCAGCCATTACCCCGCAGACAAAAGCACCAAACACACTTTAAACAGACAATCCGATTAGGAGACGGCAGCAGACGCGCCACTGGTGTCGGTTGCGAGCCATGTCCTGTAAAGTCTCGAGCCAAGTACAAGGGAGTCACGTGGACTCCAACCCGGAAGGCGAGATGGACCAACGGCACCCAGTTTGGTCGTCAGTGACTTCATTTCCCGCTGCCAAGTCAACTTCTGTCCACCTCGAGCCTTGCGCCATCCTACACCTGGTACACTGAACAAGGCCCTCCTAGGTAAGCGGTGACCAGGCATACGTAGCACGTGCCCCAGCCAACGCAACTTATTCAGTGCTATCTGTTGTTCTAGGGAGCTAGCATGATCATCACCACCTAGTACTCGTCTACGCACATCATCGTTGCGGACACGCTGGTGCCATCCGACACCAGCAATGCTTCGCAAACAACGATGATCAAAGACTTGAAGGCGCCTCAGATCTTCAGACCGAATGGGCCAAGTTTCATTACCATAGAGCAGAACGGCCCTCACTGTGGCCTTGTATACACGGCCTTTCAGATGAAGGGAAACTCCCTTCTGTCGCCAAAGATGCCGCAGGTTCAAGAACGCAGCTCTGGCTTTTGCAATGCGTGAGCTCACGTCAGTTTCTATGCGCCCATCATTGCTGATGCAGCTGCCAAGATAAGTGAATTGATCAACCACCTCGAGTTCCTCGTTAGCAAGCATCAAGGGGTCATCAAGTGGCTGGTGGTCCTGCAGCAACACTTTGCACTTTGAAGGTGCGAAGTGCATACCGAATAATTGGACCACTCTGGACAGGCTATTCAGGGTTGATTGTGCCGTCGCAACATTGTCGGAAAGCAAGACGATATCGTCCGTGTAATCTGGGTCAACTAACCTTTCACCAGGCAGCACTTCAACGCTTACAACGTGAGGTTCTGCAAGGGAACACTCCATGATAGAATCCACGACGAAATTGAACAAAAACGGGGAAATCGGACAACCCTGACGAACGCCACTTGTAGTCGAAAAGCTATCCGCTAGGACACCATAGACCCTGACGCGGCCTGTAGTGTTCGAGTATAGCGCACGAAGGATGTTCACATATTTCGTGGGGACACCTTTTCGCGCAAGTAATTCGAACAGAATCGATCGATCGACTGAATCGAACGCACTCTTGAAATCGAGGAACACAGCTATTGTCGGTCTGCGGTATGCGTGGCGCTGCTCTAGCACCTGCCGCAAAGTGAATATATGGTCTATACAGCCACGTCCTGGGCGAAAGCCGGCCTGCTCTTCCCTAATCCGAGATTCCCGTTCTGCAGTGAGGCGACGAACGATAATCGAGGCCAGTAATTTTGTTAAAACTGGCGTTAGGCTAATACCCCTGTGGTTAGCACAGTCTGTGCGACTGCCCTTCTTGTATATTGCCACTATAATCGATTCGCTCCAATTAGCCGGCACACTCTCTTCGTTTTAGATACGTTCGAATAGGGTGGTCAGTGCGCTGCAGAGGACCTCACCTCCATCCTTAAATAGTGCAGGTGGGAGGGAATCCGGGCCAGCGGCACGAAAACGATTGAGGGCTGTGATCGCGTTTCGGACCTCGGCCTCCGACGGAGGCTCTAAACTAACCGTCCATGGCACGTCCTGCATCACCTGAGTAGGAAGAGGTCCGGGAGCAGGAGGACAGCTGAACTGATCTTCAGTGTTCAGCCCAACGAGCCATACGGCACTCCTTATTGTGTATCAGCGCACCCGCGCTGTCTTTGATTGTCTCACTGACGCCTGGTTTTCTGGGACCAGTGGTGCGGATTAGCTGGAAGAGCTTGCGGTAATTGCCTACTGCTCCTGCCTCCTCCATTTCTTGAGCCCGACTGGTCCACCAGGCTTCCTTGTCAGCACGTAGGCTCCGCTTTAGTTCACGCCTAATAGCCCGTCTGGTCACATTGTGTTCAGAACCAGTCGGGAGGTGTCTTCTAGCTTCCAACAGGTTCACCGACCTCTCGGATATCCAGTGACTGGCGCGGTGATGACTGGTAGTGCCACAAACAGATGCTCCTGCGTCGTGCATAGCGGCCGAGATCCTATTCCACTGAAGTTCAGTGTCATTAGGACAAGACAGCGAGAGTTCGCTATGCAGTGCTTCTTGATAGGCTTGCCTTACCGAGGGCTGAGACAATTTCTCCGTTGCCAATCGCAGGGGACGCTTTGTGCGCCTTCCGCTAAAGTTCATGGAGAAACGACAGCGCACCAAGGCATGATCAGAGTCAACACAGGTACTCCAGTACGAGCGACAATCCAGAATGGAACCGCGCCACCTGTAACTTATGGCTATGTGGTCAATTTGGGTCCATCGCTGGCCAGCTACAGGAGGACTCCAAGTGGCACTTCGGCGCCCACTGTGTCTAAAAGCAGTGCTACTAAGAAACAATTGGTGCTCCGCACACACTTGCAGCAGACGCTCGCCGTTGTCAGTCCGTTGGGAGTTAAGCCCATAATTCCCACCCAGCTGAGCTTCTGAAGAGCTCAGACGCCCTACTTGTGCGTTCATATTTCCTGCAAGTACTATAATATCTGAACTAGTAGTACTGCGTAGTAAGGCGTTCAGTTCGTGATAGAAAGTGTCATTGACAGCATTAGAACTGCAGTCGGTGGGAGCGTAAGCGGAAATCACAAACAAACGGCGTTTTGTTTTACTTCCCGAATTCACCTTGGCTGATCTCGTCAAACGGGCTGCACATAAGCAGCTGTTCACCGGAATCCAATCAACCAACGATGACTCAGCCTTGGAGCTGAGAATAATACCTACACCAGGTTGACCCGTGAGTGCTGCATCGGCGTCTCCGGATTCGTACAACCAATAACGAGAGGATAAGCCGGGTGCAGTCAATTCAATAACCCCGTTAGGGTCATTAATCCTAGTTTCGGACACACAACACACATCAACACCCAGTGTGTCCAAGGTGCGTGCGAGTGCAGCCTGCTGACCTGTTTGTCTTAGAGTGCAGACGTTGAATGTCGCCATGGAAACGGGACAGCGTGGTCTTATAAAGGACTTTTGCCGATAGGCGTCCGATAGGTGCTGTGGGATGGTGGCTGCAGGTGGTACTACTCCAGTAGCACTTCGGTTGCTGTCAATGAAGCTGGGAATTATAGAAGGAAGGTTAGTAATAGGGGCCGGGATGGGAGTAAGAGAAAAAGATGGAAAAGAAAGAAGGGAGGCGCCAGCAGTAGCATGTTTTCGCTTATCCGCCCTGCTGTATGCAGCAGATAAGGCGACCCTTGATAATCTGCTCGACGGCCGATGCAGGATGAAGTTTATGTTTGAAGGAAATGTCATGGTTGTAAGGCACCGATGGTCGAACGTAACTAGCCTCTTGAGGTCCGCTGCTTTAAGCGGCCAGGTTTCGCAACCGTACAGTAGGGTCGAACGTACTGCCGCATTGTAAACTCTACCCTTCAGGGCAAGTGTGATGTCTCGCCGCCGCCATAGGTGGCGAAGGTTAGCAAAAGCACTTCGAGCTTGCACTATACGGTTTGTGATCTCGTCTTCGATCCCAAGGGCGCTGATACAACATCCCAGGTAGTTGAATTTCCTGACGACTTTTAGCTGATCCTCAGCAAGGGTCAGCGCAGGAGGCGTTCCCTGCCAATCTTGGATTAACGCTTTGCACTTCGATGGTGCAAAGCAAAGCCCGAAGCGACTGACAGCTAATGCTAATCAGTCCAGCGCGGCTTGACACGTCTGGGAGCTGTCACAGATGAGGGCAATGTCGTCTGCATACTCCAAGTCAAGAAGTCGTTCTCCTGGGTGTAGCTCCACACCTTCCAAGTCATGTCCTGTAAATGCAAACTCCATGGCTTCGTTAATAGCGAAGTTGAAGAGGAAAGGTGACAGCGGGCATCCTTGTCTCACACCGCTGGAGATATTGAAGGGTGGCGACAGCTTGCTGTAAGCCCTTACTCTGTCCGTGCTACGCGCATATAATGTTTGGATAATATTTACATATTTCTCGGGCACACCTTTCCTGAGTAAACAATTCCAAAGGGCACATCGATCAACCGAATCGAAGGCACCTTTGATGTCGCGGAACACGACTACGGTGGGCCGCCAATATGTGTGACGGTGCTCCAACAACTGACGCAATATGAAGATGTGGTTGATGCAGCCACGACCACGACGAAATCCGGCTTGCTCCTCACGAATCTGGCTTTCACGAGCGCCAGTCAGTCTGTGAAGAATTATGTAGGCGAGTAATTTGGAGGCGATGGAGATCAGACTGATTCCTCTGTGGTTGCCGCATTTCGAGCGCGAGCCGCCTTTGAAGATGGGAACAATAACGGAGTGGCTTCAGTCGTTTGGGACAGTCTCCTGCTCCCACAGTTTCACTAGTAATTCATGTAAAGCATCAACAAGAGAAGATCCTCCGAATTTGAAGAGGGCTGGAGGAAGATCATCTGGTCCCGCGGCTTTGCTCAACTTCAACAGTCCGATCTCGCGTTGGACTTCTGAGCAAGATGGTGGATCCAAAGGGACAGCCCACGGAGCAGGGCGATCACTGGCCGGCGAAGAATCGAACAATTCTAACCGATTAAATTGCTTTTCTAAATGCTCAGCACAACGCTCTAAACGTTTTGACGAATTATGGATAGGCTGTCCACTCTCATCACAAATTGTTTCACTAACACCAGGTCTCCTGCTGCCCGCTTCCCGTATCAGACGGAATAACTTACGACGGTTGCCAAGGGCAGCGGCCATTTCCATCTCTGACGCACGATGAGACCACCAAGATTCGCGGTCTCTCTTCAGCCTAGCGCGGAGTTTTTGGGCGGACCTCTGCGAGTTTCATTGTGCTCGCTTCCAGCCGGGATATGCGGGCGAGCGTCGATAAGTTCCAGAGACCGAGAAGAGACCCAATATCCATGTTGGCTATTAAACATACCACATGAGGATTTGCCCACTGCTAGTAAGGTCTGGCGAACATGTGACCAGTGACTATCAATTGTCTCCAGTGAGCGATTACTCAACTCGCATGTCAGCGTACTTCGATACGCATTCAGAACAGCTGGCTTTGCCAGTTGGCTGGTGTCAATGCGCTCACAGCATCGTCGTGGGCGTCCGCCAAAACGCATCTGCATGTCAGCACATACAAGTGCATGATCGGTGTCTACACATGTGCTCCAAATCGAGCGACAATTCTGGATGCAGCCTCTCCAGCGTTAACTGATAGCAATGTGATCGATCTGCGTCCAAGGCTGGTTCGAGCCTGGTGGGCGCCAAGTCACCCTCCGGCGGGTGCTGTGTCGGAAGTTAGTGCTCGCAAGAAATAAGCGAGCATCTTCACACAAATGAAGTAACCGCCCACCATTATCATTACGGGAGCCTACACCGTGCTGACCGCCCAGATGCATTTCATCAGTGGACAACTTTCCAACTTGTGCGTTCAGATCCCCAGCCAGCACAACAGTGTCCGTGCTTCTTCTGTGGCGAAGTAGCTGAGTCAGTTGGCGGTAGAAGTCGTTCTTTACCGAATCATCGCTACAGTTTGTGGGCGCGTAGTCAGCGATGGTGAATAGACACCTATTAGTCCCGCGCGACTTTGAAGCTTTAAACGAGCCAGCCAATCGGCTTGGGCACGTACTACGTATTCCCGGTCACTGTTTACCGAGGAGGGCGTTGTTTTATATGCCAGATTTAGAGTGGCGCATTACTCGAGGTGGACAAAAGTTGACTTGACAGCAGGAAATGAAGTCACTGACGCCCAAACTGATCCGTATGACCATCCTGGATGGTGTCCACTTGACTCATCTTGTGCTTGACTCGATACCTTATAGAACATGACTCACATTCGGTACCAGGGGCTTGTCTGCTGTTATCTCGTAGTCGGACTGCTTGTTTAAAGCGCGTTTGGTGCTGAATTATCTGCGGGGTAGTGGCTGCTTTCGACGCGGAGAAGCAAAAGCAACGGGGAGGCTATCTTGCCATTACCGTCTTATCTTTGCACAATAGCCAGTTTTTTGTGACGGTGTATTGTTGACAAGGCGTGGGCGCCTGGGCTCTACCTTTTCGCTTAGAGCATGAGATTTTTACGTTAGGTCCATCTTCTCATACTGAATTTTTTCATTCCCTAGATCAGTTCCAGTGGCTGATGTTGTTGATGATAGTTTGACGATTGAATCTATCTGACAGTGATGCCTTAAATTTCCGAGTTGCTGTTCCCCTGTTCAGATCCGCTATCCGTAAAGAGGAACCTGTGTATCTCGCGGCCGCCACTCTGCGTCCGGAGACAGTGTACGGTCAAACGAACTGTTGGCTTCATCCCGACATAGAATACGTTGCTGTCCGGTCCTTGCGCGAATCTTGCATTCTGATCTGTACCGAACGAGCTGCAACTAATATGTCCTATCAGGTTTGTCACCTCTTGCGTTCGCTGTGTTCCTTTACTCTGCTCCTGGGCGTTTACCTGGTGCCATTGACGGCTGTCTCTTCTCTATGTAGGGCATTCTATATCCTGATGAAATCGGAACAAAGGACATAGTGGCTCGCCTGAAGGGCTCTGAACTGTTCGGCCTGAAAATTCTAGCACCGTTCTCAATCCATGTGGGTGGCGTTTACATTCTGCCAATGATGTCCATTCGAGAGAACAAGGGTACCGGAGTGGTTATCAGTGTGCCGAGCGATTCCCCCGATGATTGCGCTGTTCTGCGCGATCTGCTGAATAAACCGGTAAGTTGGTTGTATATCATGTCGCGTTTGTTTGCGTTTTATCGCTTATGTGGAAGATATCATAGTGCTTTGCAAATCTCCTCATTGAAATGTCCTATTTGGGTTTTATCAGAGCCACCCAGTAGTTTTACCTCTTACGTCAAATTACCTTCCTTTTTGAAGATTTCATTCCACCTTTTGTAAACTTGCCGAATGTCATCCTTCACAGACTTTACGCCAGAAGTATGGTATATCGGAAGACATGGTCGTGCCATTTAAGCCAGTAAGCAACCACATTCGTTTCTCTTATGAGGCTTTACATTCAGGTTGAAATAATCGAAACGCCCGGTTTCGGTCACTTGGCAGCGGTATCCGTGGTGGATGAGATGAGAATTAAAAGCCAGAATGATACGGAATTGTTGAACGAGGCGAAAGAAAAGGTGTACCGCGCAGCATTCTATGGTGGAGTAAGTCACAGTGCCTCGGCTTTCTAATCACACAACATGTTCTGTCGTACAGACTATGCTCGTCGGTGACTATAAGGGTACCAGCGTACAGTCTGCCAAGAAGAAAATACAAGCGGATCTGGTGAATAAAGTACGTTTGGTTTTTTGTTTTTTATTTTGAACCTATCCTTTCTTCCTCAGCCAGGGTTGTCCTATATCTCCTTTCCTCTTACACATTGTGGTCGAACTAATCATGAATAACTCCATATTTTTTGACTCTTCCGGAATGGAGGTTCTAAAAACTTTAGTTTGCGAATAACGCATAGCGCTTCTGCGTTTGCTTTTTATGTCCAAAGTATAAAGTATTTTTGCACCTGTGAACCGATTTTAGCTATCAGCAAGCAGCCACTAGAAATGGTAAATTCGCTTACTTGCCTTCGTTGCTGTGTCGCCTCTAGTGCTCACATAACTGAGAAAGTTCACGTAGCATCAAGATCCTTGTGGCTTTTCAGACGCTCAGCTACCTATAGAGACGTCGGGACGTCAGTTTGTCAGCGAAAGGTAGGTTGTATAACGCTGCGACAAGACCGGTGTTATTGTACTGATCAGAAACCTCCGATCCACGGGGAAGACACTATGCGCTTGGCCGTGTTTTTAACCACCAGTGCTTGTAGAGTATTGGTCATATCTGGTGGAAACATCGGGTGATCAGTGTCAAGTTTCGCCTGTTGGTTTTTGCCATGAAGCCTTCTGGACCCTCACTCGAGTGTTTGCTAAGGCCTAATCGTTTACCAGCCCATGAGAATACCGTAACTTATCAACATTAGTTAGCCAGAAAGTTTCTGACAAACAACAAAATACTGTATAAGCTTGCCAACAACCTTCGCAAATTGAAGCATATCATCCCTCCACTTTTTACAACGGATGGCAGAGTACAAAGCGCCGACTAAGAAACCAATGCCATGTGGTTACAATACGCAGACTGTCCCTGTCACATACCCTTATCCACTTTACCGACTCCGGTACTTATGCATGCAGTTTTCGATCCAACAACTGTGCTAAGGAACTTACTCTGATTACGCTATCATAGCTTTCCGTGAGCCGACGGTTTTCGCCCGAAAACACTGGCCGCGGCCACTAAGCTGGTCGAGCCCCTGTCACAGTTTTTTCAAAGATGCTTTGATGAATAACAGCCCCCACTCTGAGGAAGCATGATATTGTTACCCCAATCTTTAAAGGCGGTAGCAGTTTTGACCCTGCAAACTATCGCTTAGGAACTCTCCTTCATGTGCTATCCTAGGTGTTGGAAGCGGTCGTCCCCTGAGGCTCTAGCAGTCTATTCAAACAGCATAGCTTCCATCAACACCGGTCATACACCACCAACTTGCTGATGGCACGATGTATTTGGATGGAAGTGGCTGATAGCAGATTTGTAATCGGTGTCATTTATCTGGACTTCCCCAAAGCTTTTGGCCCCCTGTGTCACAAGCTACAGAACTATGGGATCGGAGATCCTGTTCTTGGTTGGATTGCAAACTTTATACAACAACGGAGGCCACATATGTGTGTTAGGGGATCATTCTCCAACCCGTTTGCGGTGGAATATGGTGTACCACAGGGCTCGGTGCTGGGACCACGCTATTTCCTGGTTTTTATCAACGACCTGACAAGAGTTATCTCCAATAATCTCATGCTTTCCCCGGTAATGTTAAAATATGGTGAGTGCAGATCGCGATTTTCCCCAACATGACCTGGATTGCGTTCGTGAATAATCAACGAGGAGTTTACTCCAGTCCAACATAGGTAAGTGCAAGGTGATCTACCTGCATCATCCGCCGGTGAGCGTTTACTAGCACCTTGCAGAGGGCCTGTCACGAGGGTGACCTTGATTTACTGGTACCGGAAAATCTCGCATGCTCAACACAAGCAGAGAAGGCGTCGAGAACCGGCACTCAACACTTTGGCTTGCTTCGCAGAGTGTTCGGTTGGTTTGACCCTTCAATCTTCCCAAAACTACGTTTACGTACGGTACCATGTGGAATACGTCATCCAAACGTGGCACCCGTGGCAGAAACAGGATCTGGTTTCTCTCGAGACTCCTCAGCGAAGGGCAACCAAGAATGTTAGGGATCTCTTCCATCAGTTTAAATTTTCTAGGAATGTGCAGTATTCGATATCGGCGTTTGCGTGGGGACCTCATGATGGTTTACCAGATTCCGAAGAACCCGAAACACATATGCAGAATGCTGCTGGAACTGAATCACAATATCGACAACACAGTTTAGCCGGCTGGAATGCTGACGGAATTTCTTCTCATTCCAAATGTCTCAGCCGTGGAACGCTCTCCCAACTTATGTTGTCTCTGCCTCCTATCTAATCATATTTTTTTTTAAACGACTTGTCCTACCATTGTCACATTCGTGTTATCTTTTCTAACTTGTGCTGGCCATGAGGCTACATGACGCAACGAAACGGAGTTTCCAATTTTCCAACCAGCTGATTTATACTTTTATCATGCCAACATCTCGATTCTTTTACGCATGTTCATGGTGAGTCCACCAAAATGCTTTTCACTTTATTCTGAATTTTTATTTTTTCAATCATTTCCACCCCATCATTCCATTGTACGCCGGTTTGACCGGCTTCCTAGGCGTGCATTATTTGTCTCGGCTGTGTAGTGAGCAGGACGACGAAGGCAAATGGACCGGTAATTTAACGTGCTGGAATAAGAGGGGAACACACACAGTCAGTCACACAGGGCACAACAGAGGGTTCGACGAGGGAACACGGATGCAGCGAAGAACACGGAGCGAAGGTAGGAAAAGGTGTATTCAACACGAGAGCCACAGTTACAGTGCAATGCATTTAAACACAGAGTTCAGGAAAGAAAACAGTAGGTACACAAGTGGTTAAAAGTTCACCAGTCTTTGTCTTCAAGTTTATTAATGTTGGGGTTTCTCGGGAAGGAATCTGAAAAACAAAGAGAGAAAGGAAAAGATAGCGGACATTGGATAAGTTGATGCGGAGGCACTACACTACTCCCCCCTTATTGTTAGGTGTTGTCCTCAACACCTGCAGGTAACTGTTGTACTGGATCGGTTGTCTCAGCCCTTATCTCCACGTGCTCAACGGCCTCTGGTACGGTTAATGCAAGATTGCGAGTATGCTCCGGGCCAGTGTAACTCAGGGTAGCAGGTTTCAGTCGATTAAAGTGGACCACAATAGAAGGACGAGAATCACAGGCACTGTCCGTGATGCGGCAGGTGCAGTCGTCATACACCTCATTAACAACGTATGGTCCAGCCCATTCCTTATGTAGCTTCGATGAATGGCCGGGTGATGGTACGGGTGAGTGTAAATAAACCAGTTGTCCGGGCTGCACGGGTGTACCCTCTACCTTGCGGTCGTAATAACCCTTCTGGTGCCTCTGAGCATTATCCAAGCAGTTTCGTGCCAAGTGATGTGCGCGGTGTAACTCATTTCTCAATTTCGTGACGTAATCCGTGGCTAGCAACGGGTTAACCGCCAAGCGAGGTAACGTTAAGTCGAGAGGAAGCCGTATCTCTCTCCCAGTAAGCATGAAATGGGGAGATTGGGTAGTCGAGGCGTGTACGGTGGAGCGGTAAGCTAGCAGGCAATGTGGAAGAGCGAGATCCCAGTCGTGCGCATGGTGTCCGTCGATGAAAGCCTTAAGCAGTGCTTTAAGAGATCTGTTAACGCGTTCCACTGTGCCGTTTCCCTGTGGATGATATGCAGTTGTACGTGTTTTACGAATGCCCAGCAACTGACACAACTCTGACACGACTATACTCTCGAAGTTCGAACCTCGATCCGAATGTATCTGCTCTGGGGCCCCCAACGTGCGATCCATTGTTCAAAAACAGTCCGCGCAACAGTAACCGCATCAGTACGTGCTAAAGGGGTGGCCTCACACCACTTGGTAAAATGATCGACGAGGACCAAAATAAAGCGGTTTCCTCGAGTCGTCATAGGTAAGGGTCCCATGATGTCAACCGCTACCGTTTGATTTGGATACCCCGTCACAATTGGTTGTAGAGGTGCACAGTTGGGTCTCCGGGGTGGTTTCGCACGAAGGCAGTCGTGACATCTATTGCAAAAGTTTACAATATCTCTGCGTTGGCAAGGCCACCAGAACCGCTGTTCGACGGCTTCTTCCATTTTCTTTTGCCCAGCGTGCCCTAGCTCTGCATGAAGCTGTTGCAACACGGAGTCCACTTTGGGCAGAGGAACCACGATGCGCTTCGGGTAATTTGGCCCATATTGATAGTAGAGAATTTCGTCATGGATAGTGAGGCGTGCCCAAACAGACCACACACAATGGGCCTCCCAGCTCAAACCTGTCATCTCTGCTTTCGTTGGTTTAATTCCTTCAGTTATCAACCTTTCATAAATGAACTTAAGGTCCGGATCGTTCTTTTGAAGCTCGGACCACTCAGTAGAGTCCGAACTAACCAAGGAAATCACGTCGACATGATGTTGTGCACACGAGGGACAGCCCACTTGATGATGACCTCTTCGCCGAGAGAGCGCGTCGGCATTAGTGTGTCGCTTACCAGGTCTGTGAACACATTCGTAGTCATACTCTTGTAACTGCTCCTGCCAGCGGGCAACCTGTCCCACTGGATCACGAAAGTTTTGCAACCACTTCAGAGAATGATGGTCTGTGCGGACGATGAAATGTCGACCCAGCAGGAAGTGTCGAAAGTGTTTTGTATATACTACCAAAGCCAGCATCTCCTTGCGCGTTGCACAATAATTGCGCTCGGGTTTACTCAAACATCTACTGCCGTACGCTATCACGTGCTCCAACCCATCCGCTCCTTTCTGGGATAGGACAGCCCCAATTCCTGTATCACTCGCGTCCGTGTCGAGGATAAATGGACCAGCTGATGGGGACAGATCGGGAAACGCCAAAATCGGCGACGTTGTGAGCGATTGTCGTAGGGCATCGAACGCCTGTTCGCACTGGGGGGTCCAACGAAAAGGCCTCCCTTTCTCTGTAAGGCGGTGTAGCGGTCCCGCGATATCAGCAAAATTACGGACAAACCGTCGGTAGTATGAAGCCAGGCCAAGAAACTGACGCACCTCTTCCGTGGTTCTTGGAGTCGGCCAGTCTTTTATCGTCCTAAT